CGAGAGCCGATAAAGCTAAAAGGAAATTCCTCCGCGACCAAACTCTTCTCACTTCCGCTTTCGTATTGACTCGAACGGCGGAGGGAAGGATCCAGGAATTTTAATATCTCGTGTTTAATGGTATTTTTCTACCACTATGTATCCTCGACCTGCAACCAATTCCTACCATAGAATTGGTAACGTGGTAATGAATAAAGGAATTCGTAAAATACCTTATAAAACCGATATGAATTGCGCCTGAGAAATTCGAACGTGTAAATATTTTCTGATACGTCGAATCATTCGAACAAAGTCGATAAAAGAAATTGAATTACCGTTGCATCCTTCGAGATGCATTTGAATAAAATTTGATCACGAATCTCGATATTCGAATAATCAAGATTCAAGAAATAACGAAGAATGACGAAGAAGCCCCTCGAAATATTGATAGATCTCTACTTATGATTCCTTATTGCAATTCGAACCCCATCTCGATTAGCCGTTGGTGTTCCATAGAAGGCACATTGGAGGGGATTGACACCGCTAAATACGCGCTTAAGCTCGCACCCCTCGAAGCGAGATCAACGTTATTACCCTACGATCATCCGGTTCGCCACTCACCACATCCGGGATCACGCGAATACCGAAAGGGAAGTAATTGCTGTGCCATTCGCCTTGGCATCGTTGCCTACATACCCCTGTGGACAGATTGTGCGATATTTATTCGTCGATACGAGAATTATATGAAGAATTAACGAAATATTTTCATTTCATTCTCTCCAAGCTAATTTATTAATTTTGCTCAATAGAACATTCGTTGTTATTTTAATTTATTCACTAATTTATTAATTTACGAATTATTGCAATAAATTTGCAATTATTTAAATTACTTTGGAGAATTATTGTTATTAATTCAAAAATAAAAATTTGCATGCAATTAAAGGATAAGTATTATTCCTTTCTTTTTTTCCTTTCGTTTAATTATTACGTTAGCGTTATTGATAATGTTAAAAGAAGGAAAGTTTGTAAATTAATTCCATTTCCTTTTTACATTACACTACCGAGAATAGTAAACCGAATGAACGCGAGAAAGATAAGGTTGATCCGGGTTAGTGGATACGATTTGCTCGGTTTAAGCGGGTGTTTAGCGGTGTCAATCCCTAGGCGACCTTTCAACGGGACACTAAGGATCGCTAAGGGTCGGTATACGACTCGTAAGAGGGGTTACCACCTAGAAGAAACTTGTAGAACGTGGTATGGAATCACTTGACACGCCTTGATCGTTGACAAACCGTCGTCTTTATGGTACTATTAAATATCCTCAGAGTGTTGAAAGGATTAAATATAATCCCTCTGAAGGGAGAGCATAAAGTCTCTGTTCTCTTCGTACATTTGCGTTTTAATCCTATACTCTATATCCCTTTATTCCATATTATATATGTATTGTATAACAAAGATTAAGATCTTTCATTTATTAAAACTGGATTTGTTACATTTTTAAAAAAAATTATAAGATGGAATATTATTTGAGAGGTATCTAATTGAATTATAAAAGGGAATGTGGAATATTTTAACGATCCATTTAGGATATAGGATTTTTTAACATGTGATGAATTATTAGTTTTATTGGAATTATTAGTAGTTAAGAGGTTAATGTTAATTATTGAAGAAATATTGATGCATATGCTCGATAGTAAATACTTGAACAAATTAAATTTTATACGATGTTTGTTTATATTCGATAAAATAAATAATTAATTTTATCGAGTATAAATAAAGCTTTATGATTCAATAATGTAATAGGATTAAAATGGATATTTTATTTTAATCCCTTATTGATTTTGTCAATGAAAAATATTAATAAAGACAAAAATACTAATTAAAGATTCTAATGAATTCTGATTTATTTTAATTTTTTTTTTCCTTGTAAAGAAATAAACGATATTAAAAATAAAATATACTTGAACTCAACTCGAAGGCAACTCAGATTTTAATTTGATATCGAGATTTACAATTTCCTATTTTTATCTACAGATATTATAGGATACGAATGTAATTCAATTATTTTTAATAACACCATGTTTTTCATAGTTGTCAAGAGTTGTTAGTTTATTCGATGAACACGAAACTTCAATTAAGATGCACAAGATTTGACTTCTCTTGCTCATTAGCGATTGAAGTATCATAGTCGCATCTTCGAGATCGACAAATATATACATATAAAGAATCATAACAGCTTTTTCAATTAATGAACTAATTTCAATTAATTAGTATCTTGAAGTACGATTTTGTAATTAAGAAGACGAACTTCAAGAAGAAATTCAATCCATCATTTTTTTAAAATCTAAATGCGAAATTTAGATCATGAAACTACATTTTTTGATGGATTATAAATGAATCATTTTCATCATTATTGGAGCAAAATTTATCAAATTTTAACTATTTAAATATCGAATTGCTCCATGGTTCACACTTTATTATTAGTGTTTGTTGATCTTAATAAATAATAAATTCAATATCAATAATCAAATGGATTATACATTAATCGAATAAGAATTTAATCATTATAACTAATGATTATCAAATATTTCAAAAATTTAGTAGTCATTCATCTTTAATTTTGTCAAATACTTCCTTCATCGTTGATAACAATTAAAGTCATCATTTTAATAGAATAAATTTCTCACAGATCTTCGTTAATTTTCATGAATTTCCATCAATTTCCAAACTTTTCGAGTTTCAATACCACAAATTATTCGAAATAACAACAATTTATTTCAATAATCGGTCCACTTATCCATCATCTCCAACGTGCATGCGAAATTAAAATTTCCAATCCAATATTTCTAATCTTCATAAATTCCCTAATTTCCCTAGCGACAATCCACCATAAATAATATCCATCCAGATATCCACCATCTCCAAATATAGAATTAAAGTTTGCAAGACTCGCGTGATACTTTTCCAGTGAAGGGAAGAAGAGTCACCAACATCGTAAACGCATCGAAGAAGAATCCTTTCGAGCGGATTCCGAATTTAAGATTCAAGAAACGGGAAGAAGACGATGACACGACGACCTCTATACGACGTACGAGTTGGCGATGGTCCAGAAGATGCCAATTCAATCTTCCTCCCTGCTGCGGATGGAAAAATTTCAGGTGGCCGACCAACTTTCCTCTTCTTTGCCTCGTTCCGGCCACTGCAGTCCTTCGAGTATTTCTCCTCTCCTTTTCAGCAATTCCTCATTTCCAACCATCCTTCTTGCCTTTCGTCATCGAACAACGATCGTATCTTTTCACCATTTGTATCGCTCTTTTTTTGAATAATGTATAAATAAAATGTTGCAAAGCAGGTAAGAAATCAATTGTAAAGATTAATTTAGTAACATTTTCTGTACATCACATTTTATATCTTTATCTTCATCCATATTTTTAAAAATTTGTTTGCAATTAAAAGTAACATGGACTGAATGTGTTATTAAATTCTATCTGTGATTCGAAAAAATAAAATTAGGCAAGTGAGATCTAGTAAACTCTATCTGATAGATAAAAGACGAATCTAATGAAATTCATTGAAAGAAACTCTTTCGTATTACATTCTCTCTTATCTTAATCATTTCCAATTTGAAATCTCTTCCAATCTCCTCGATATCCAGGATATCTTGATTAAAATTTTTTAAAACTTTCATTCCATCTTATTTTATATTGTCCTTCTCCTGATCCGAAATACCAAATCCTTCTCTATGATATAAAAATCTACGATACTCCATACATTGATCGAAGTTTATCAAAAATTCGTAAACCTTGCTGCACACACTTCGAATTAATTTTATTTCCAGAGAAAATTATCCAAGAATCCTGATACGCGCGTACGCTCTCTGGTTCCTTTCCTTCGTTTCACGCGCTTCGAATTTAACGAGCTCCTTCATTGATGAATCGCGTTCATCAAAAGCACGATTTCAGCTCGATCTCGTGATCTAACGACGCCGTCGTAATCAGCAATAGTAGCTAACGGAGAACTTCCGTGGCGCCTGATCCCACTTATCATACATCGTGGCGCTCGTCTTTGCATCGATGTAGAAAGTTCAATTGTTCTCCGTTTCTTGGATATGTGATGTCTTTGTTTGTACCAAGATTGTACCAAGGAATTTAAAAAGAATAAAAGAGTTTGTTTCGAGTGGGATAATTATCAGTGATACATTTTTGTTTGTAGATGTAGACAGTTGGTTTCTTTTTGGAAAGGAAATTCGTCAAGAATCATTTCAATCATTCGAAAGGACATTTTGACAAAATTAAAGTGAAAAATTTTATTGAATTATTGTTTGAACAAGAATTTATTTGAATAATTTAGGATGATTTGTAATTCTGCTTTTTAGGAGAAATGGAAGAAAATTAAATATTAGATTAAATAGGAAATTTGTTCTTTCATTTTCTCAATACTGTTGAATCCCAATTTCAATTCGAATCTCATTGGAAAAGGTAAAATTTTCGAGTTATTAAGGTTTCGTCTATTCAAGCTTTTGAGCTAGAAGAGGATTTAACAAGCGAGAATTCGACGTACAAAGATTTTTCTAATTGTTAGGATATAAAAGACAGATTAAAATAGTTTATTTTATCTTCAAGGTACGTTTTTTAAATGATTTCTCGCTAGAAAATTTTTAATCTACTTTTTCCAGCAATTTTTATGCACGTTATATATTATCACTGAGATAAGATATAAATACTTGGAGATTTTAAAATTGTTTACAATAAATTTGCATGAGATAAATGCGTTCACTTACCTTGTACGGTCCCAAATCCTTAACACTGCAGGCTAATTTCACGTTACGTCCTGCTGGGACTGTGATATTTCCTATTTCATCAACGAACTCAGGATCCGGGACGGTGGTAACTGAAACGACTGTAACTGAAACAAAATGAAACGATTGTTAACATAATGTTAATATTCTCCTGGGCATTTAATCACAATTGAATTTCCCTCTCGAATATTACTGTTCAAATTAGAAATATAATTGTTCATCGAGTTTAATCGTTCAGAAAATAGAGATTGCCATAAGAATTCCAATTTAACATTATATTTCTATTTAAAATTATTATATCAAAAACTTAAAAATTGTACAGTACCTGTACATATTTCTTGAAAAACTTCTCCAAGCATTCAATCATAATTGCAAGAAAATATTATTTATTGAAGAATCGAACGAGATTTTATTATATCCCTTACCTTTCGTATTGCAATACTTTTTGCACTAATAATAATTTTGAAAATAATTTAATCAATCTTTTTGCATCGATCCATTAAAAAGTAATAACTTTCATATATTCTTCATACATTCGTCTGCAATATATCCTTCTTAAATCTTCGTATGAAACAGTACAAATAATTTACGAACCATTTAATATAGTTATGCGACTCATTTTGTAGAGTTTCAAGTAATATCGAATCAAGCCACAAATGAAATCAGGTCGCAAGAGTTCATATTCAAAATAGTCGACAGAAATTATGTATTGTCCAGATACATAGATAGATGGATTTAATCTAATAAACTTTTATTTGCGAGCTTATTAATTGAATTAAATTAACAATTGCAACAAATATTCTATAAATTATAAAACTAATTTATCATTCCGGATTTATTCAGATATATTACTTCGTTTTTTAATGATGAGAAAAATAATACGTTGTATGCACATTTTTTGCAAAAATAAACTCTGTCACATGCAAGATCGTCAATTTCTATATCTTTAAAAAAACAAGACTTTGAAACTAGGTCAACTTTGAAGATCCAACAATAAAATTTAGAAGACATCTATAAAAGAAAAGTGTAGAATTCAATTAAATATTCCAAGAATCTCCAATGTAATACAATTACAACTTCAAAATAGCTATAAGAACATGTAACAACATCATATCAAAGTACGAAACTAAAAGTTCACGAGTTTGAAAACTCACTTACACTTACTTGTTAACTTCTTATAGTAACTTTGTTTATCAATAACTGGAAATTTATGCCACTTTTCCAATAAACATTTTTCCATTCCAACTTATTCCTTTCACCCTCCAAACATATCAATTTTCAAAATTGTTGAAAAAGAAAGATCCAAATCCGTATCCAATCTCCTCTTTTCCAATAAAAAAAAAAGAAGAAAAACTCCACATTAATTCAAGACGTCTACCATCCAAAGAGAGCCAAACCTCAAAGATTCTATCGCGCATACGAACTCAGTGCTTGCATTGTCAATCCCCAAAGGAAGAAAACCAAAGCAAACGATCTCGCGACGAATAGCTCCTCCTCTCCTTTCCGGCAGGACATCGAAGACGCGACTATGCCATTTCCTGCAAAGAGGGGAGAGAAAGAACGAAAGAGAAAGAGAGAAAGAACGAAAGAGAAAAAGAGAGAGAGAGGAGAGTCTCTCCACGTGGGATGCGTGGGATGCGCTTTGAGTTATAGGAGGATGCTGCTCGGACTGACAGTCTAGTTATTGAATACAAAATGCAATTTTTCAAGTCTGCCGCCGCGGTATATCTGCTCGCAGCCAGTCCTGAAAAGTAACAGACCGTTCTCAATGGTGGAGCTGATCGAATCCTCGCCAGGATTTCCAGATACACACCTCGTCCTGTCTAACACCGTGGACCATCCATCCTGAAATTCGCGTCTTCGAGTCTTGAATAACGTGGATTGGATCGAATGAAAATGGGAAACGATACTGTTGATGGTCGAAGTTGAGAGATAAGATGAGGGGGTGGATCGAGATTGAAGAGAAAAAGATTTTTTTCTTTCTTTTTCTTGTATTGTTGTTAAAAGAGAATCTTTCACCTGAAAGATTAAGAGTTTTAACGAAGTTGAAATGACATAACGAAAAAGGAAAGAAATTAATATTTGTTAAGTATTTATAATAAATGGATGAAACTTCTTAATTGTAAGTTTCATTTCCATTCGAAATTTAAATAGGTTTTTGATTTTTGAATGGAAAGATGATTCGTTGTTTTAGAAGCAATATAATTCGTATCGTGAGCGCGTTTGATTTATGATTTATCCTCTGTTGCAAGCACCCTTTAACGGCATATTATATGGTGTTCTTTGAAGCATTGAAATTTGATGTGGATTTTCTCGTTGACACGCTTCCATTAGTTTGCTCTTGTTACCATGAATTCCTTTCAAGGTATTGCAATTATTTTCACCCTTTATATTTTTGCATACCATAACAGTGGGGTTTTGCAAATAATCATTGTCAATAAAAACTTGACAATGTGGACCTTTGCATATTTTAAAATTTTACATAATAACACTTAGAGTGATAAAAATATAATCAACGTCACAAAGTTAAATTTCAAAATATCTACGAAACAATCTAATTTTAATATCAATAAACTTCTTTATGAATTTTAAAAATTATATTTAAAAAAACCTTCTTATGCCACTTATCACTATAAATATTTTTCCAATTGAATTTTCATTAAACGTTATAATATTATATTACTTTCTTGCAACTACTTTGATTTTATACATACCAAGTGTTAACATATTCGTGACACAAGACCTTAGGAGCATTAATTCTCTGCCAAAAAACAGAAACAGAATATACAAAAATCCTTGTCTCCGTCTCACTTCATCTAACTTAAAATATTTTCGTACATACAAATCTCATCTTCCCTTCCTGTCAAAGGAGTAACAAGAGTTGAAAGTTTTCTCGTAAATTCCTCGAGAAAATACTCGACTACTGGACTACAGGAGGCCGATTTGCCGGATACACTTACCGATCTTACACACGCCTAATGCCCCTCAAAGGGCGCTGTTCAAACGTTATTACGGATTACACGCGGGGATATCGGTCCGTGGAAGGGGTGGCGTGGAGGGACGCGGGTGGAAGGGCGGAAAAGGGATGGCAAAAAAGAGAAAGATCGTTACCTGTGAAGAGAAGACCCCGCCACTCGAAAGTATTTCCTGCAGAGGAAGAGAGAGAGAGAGAGAGAGAGCACCACTTTCGAGAGTTGGAATGCGATTCCGCTAACGATCCGTGCAGTTGCACCTGTATCCTGAAACTCGAGCTCAACCCCCGCGAGAGAACCCTTTTGCTGTTTCTCAGAATCGAACGAGGACACGTTCCAAAGCGTATCGCATGCGATCGATCTTTGACTAGTTTAGTTTTCGTGTCTCTTTTTTTTTTCTTTCTTTCTCTCTTTTGGTACATCAAATATACACGTGAGATAGTTATAATTGAAATCGAGTAATGATTTTTGTGATAATTTAGGAATTAAATGCGAAAATATTGAATTAATTTAAACAAGGAATATCTCTCTTCTTAAAATTCCAGTTCCAGTGAGATACCTTTGTTGTATATTTTTATAAGCATCGAGAATACTTTCTATCTTGCACAAATCAATTCTTTAAATTAATTTAAAACGGAATTAAAATTTCAATTTCCTGAAAATGCGTAATTTAAAATTCTTGACCAATTTTTCTAAAATAATCGATACAATTATATAAAATTCTTGTGATACAAGATTCCAATCCAAATAATTCCGTTACTCGCAATGATAAAACCACGGATAGATATAATTTCTCTAATTTTCCTTCCTCTCGTTCTGAAAAAAAGCGAAAGAATTAGAATGAAATATGGATATTAAAAAAAAATTGCAATTCTCACGTACGATTGTTTACACCACGTTCATAAAAATAGATGCAAAACAGTGGAGGAGGAGCAGATTCCGGCCAGCCTAGAGATTTACACGAGGATATGTGCACGGGGGTCAAATGAATGGAACGGAAAGAAAATGGAGAAACATGAAGAGGGATGGGAAAAGGTGACTTGCCAAAGGTAGCTGCTCCAAGCTGACTAGAAACCGTGCAGGACCCATGCTGCTAGGAAATTCTCTTTGGGCCAATGCCATCGCCAAAGGATCCGCCAGCATGCACGCGCGCGAGAATCTTATTTCCTACCCTTACTCGGGATTATCCTGATTTTCGTAGTTCATAAAGACTTGGAAGTTTCGCGAGGAATCAAAGATTAGGGGTGAACACGGGTCGAATAGCTCCTTGGGTCTACGGTTCATTAAGAATAGAAATTTTCTCGAGTTTGAGTCGGGTTTGTATCGTGCAAACGTTGTAGGATGATGGAATAATAATCAAACGTTTGGAAATATTATTTATAATGAATTATTGATATTCTTGTAGTTATTGTTTGCAGTAAATTTGTGTAGATTTGAATGATTTGAATTATTTTGAAAGTTTGCGAAAAATAATGAAATTTGAGTTTTCTTTTGTATCTATTATTGTATAATTTAATACAAAATAATAATATTATAATTTGTTTTATTTATTTTATAATATGTGAATCTTATTATCTATCATTAATATTTTATATTACCAATAATATATCAAATACGAAACTTTAAACTATTAAAAAATTTTGTATAACTTTAAAAAACTGTCATAGTCGTAAAAAATAAAAATTCCAAACGTCTATCATTATCACGAACCACAATACAGGTTCATCTTATCATATAGCAAACCTAAAATCACTCTCTCTTTCGACCTCTGCATTCAAACAAGATCCATCTACGATCAATTCTAAGCAAATCTAATCAAATATCGATCCACATCGTTTCAAAGATACGATTAACAAAAGAGGGAAGGAATAAAAACTGATCAAAAATCAAATAAATTCTGTACAGTTCCAAAAAAAAACAAAACAAAACAGAAAGAGAAGGGAGAGAAAAAACGTAATTCGACCAACAATCTCCGTTCTCATCGCGGAGAGATCTGAAAAGAGATCGTGAAGTATTAATTACGGAAAGTAGATCAAACTCGAGGCTTCTATCGCGGGATAATTAATACGATGCCCTAAGTATCGACTGTCATTCGAATTAACGAGGGCGGTCAAAACGACCGAAAGAAGAGCGCT